AAATAGTCTGGACGGAAATGTGATTATTTTTAATATTTATAAATGAATAAAAATAAATTAAACTAATTTGGAATGAAAATAAAAAAATAAATTTAGAAAAAATATTAAAAATAATTATTTTTATTTATTAATTTAATTTAGCTAAGTTGGGGGAGTTGTAAATATTTAAATAATAAATTAAATAGCAGTAATTTAATTTAAATTAATTTGTAATATTTTGTAAAGCTTTTGAAAAATAAAAAATTATTTCTAAATTAAAAAAATGTTTTTTGAATTTGTTATTTTATAAAAATATATGGACATGTGCCAAAAATGGCCTTGTATGTACATACAGTCGTGGAAAAAAGTATGGAAGCGCTAGAAAATTTTTTCTCAATTCTTAATTTTTCATTCAAAAAATACGTTCTATATACCAATCGAAAGCTCTATTCGTATCTCAGTTGACATGTTTCTGCATTTTTCATGAAAATGAAAATTGGCCGAGATAATCCGGATCTACCGGATATACCAAATCCCACTTTTTCGGAAAAATTTTTCGGAACAAATTTAACAAACCCATTTGATAAAGCATATTTTTCTGAGTATTTTCCACAAAACTGCTTAGAAATATCTTTTTCCGGTCCAGAGATATGATTTTTTGAAAATCGCATTTTTCCCTTAAAAATTGAATTTTTTGCAAAAATTGACGAAAAATGCGATTTTCAAAAAATCATATCTCTGGACCGGAAAAAGATATTTCTAAGCAGTTTTGTGGAAAATACTCAGAAAAATATGCTTTATCAAATGGGTTTGTTAAATTTGTTCCGAAAAATTTTTCCGAAAAAGTGGGATTTGGTATATCCGGTAGATCCAGATTATCTCGGCCAATTTTCATTTTCATGAAAAATGCAGAAACATGTCAACTGAGATACGAATAGAGCTTTCGATTGGTATATAGAACGTATTTTTTGAATGAAAAATTAAGAATTGAGAAAAAATTTTCTAGCGCTTCCATACTTTTTTCCACGACTGTATAATAATAAAATAAAAAAAAAGAAAGGAAATATATGGTTGGCTGGCATTTTACCCAAAACAAAATAAAAATAAACAAAAAACAGAAAAATACATAAAATATTTTAAGGAAGGAATGAAAAGAAGGGGATGTTGCAAAATAAAAAAATTTAAACATTAAGTAAAAATATATTATTGAATAGTATGTAGACTTAAATTAAGCGAAAAAAAAGAAAATATAAATTTCCAATTCCCGATTCCAAATTCATTAGTCTCTCGAAAAAAATACCCGAGTAATAACCTTCTCCTCCCTTTCCCTCCCTCCCTCCCTCCCTCCCTCCCTCCCTCCCTCCCTCCCTCCCTCCCTCCCTCCCTCCCTCCCTCCCTCCCTCCCTCCCTCCCTCCCTCCTTTCCTTCAACATTTGTGCCAACAAAAAGGAAAAAAAATAAATTGCAGGAAATTCTCTCAAAAAATGTTTTGATGATTATTAATTATATTTTTCAATATTTTTTACTAAAAAAGGCTTTTTTAAATAACAAGTAAAAACTGACAATAAATTCTGAGAAATAAAAGAAAGAAAAATTGAGAGTACGTAAATATATTTGTATAAATAAATAAATATATTTGTACATCTACATACATGCCTATTTTTAGAAAATAAAATCAAAAATACTTATGTATTTTTTAAAAATAAATATTTAAAATTAAATTATTTATTTATTGTTTTTCCTTTTTAAATATTCAAAAAATAAAAATTATTATTTTTTCTAAAAGGATTCGAACATTCGACTCTTTAATTAAACGGTATTTTAATTAATTATTTTAATTAAACTTTTTAATTAAACGGTACTCTAAATTAAACGGTACTTTTCTATTATCCCTAATAATTAATTAAATAAATTAATGTGTACTTTTAAATATATAAAAAAATAAATGAATAAAAATTACTATCTCAATTATTTCTTTTTCAATTAAAAACGTCATTAATTTTTATTTTTAAAAAAATAAAATTAAAATTATTATTTCTCTTTTTTTATTATTTATGTGAACAATAATAAAAACTTATAAAATAAATTGCTCTAAGAACTAAAGCAATTTGATATGTTTTTTAAGAAAAGTTTTTTTATTTTTTAAAAAAGTTTGTAAATAAATAAAATAAACACAAGAATTTTTAATTAAAATTGATTTAAAAAATTGGAAAAATTAATTTAATTATTCTCAATTAAGCTAAGAAAATAAAATTAATTTTTCGGTTTTTATTTAGAATTTTTACAAAGAATTAATTTAATAAAAAAATAAATTATTATTCTTTATTAAATTATAAAACATACTAAATATAAAAACTAAAAATAATTTCTTAAAATATTTATGACAAATGAGGTATGTGAATTTAGAAAAAAGGCTTTAAATTTTAAAAATAAATAAAATCATCTTTGGATTATAAAAAAAGAATAAAATATTTAGATTAAACGTAGAAGGGATATTTAAATAAATAATTAAAGAATTCTTGATTAATGTTTGGAATATTAGTTTCTTGACTTTTTTTTCTAATTCTACTATAGTACAAAAAACGGCAAAAAATAAAGAGAGAGGTTGCCAATTCAAACATTCATTTTACTAAATTAACATAAAATAATCTCTTCTATTGCTTACGTCAAATTTGAATTTATTTTTATTTATTTAAAATAATATTTATTGACTAATAAAAAAATATATTTTAATCTATTTTTTAGTCAAAAGAATTTTTAAACAAAATTTAAGTAAAAATCTGTAGAAACCTTTATTTAAAAAAATATTTTTTTCTTCCTTTCTTTTGTCCAATTTTAGCATACAAATTAAATAAAACAAAAAAAAAGTTTTTTTAAATAAAAAAATAAAAGTTTAAAGATTGTTATATCCAAAATATTTTTAAAAAAGAGATGTATATTTATTTAAATAAAAATTAAAATATTAATTAACAAAAACAGAGATCTTTATTTATTTTAATTTTAGTATTAATCTTATTTTCTATGAAAGAAAAAAAAGATTAAAAAACAAAATTTAAACTTTTAATATTAAATACAAACAATTAAAGAACTAAAATAAATAAAACTTCATTTTAAGAATTTTTTATAAATTTAAATTTAAAAATAAAAAAATAAATTCTTCTCATCTTTCAAAAAATTTTTTTTTGAATTTATCACGCATTTCTTACAAGTTTTGTTTTTAAATTAAAAAAATTGAGAAAGGATTTTTTATTTTTCTTTAAGAAAGAGAGAAAAACATTAACTTTATTAACTAATTCCAAATTTAGATTTAAAATTTGGGAATTTTATGGAGGAAAAACAATTTGCGTGACTCTATAAATATTTCCGATTTTAATGGGTAAATTAAAAAAAGATGACCAAATAAATAATTTAATTTCGAATACATCCAAATCTCAATAAAAGATAAACCCAAAAATTAGATAATTTAAGATATGATTTTTTATGGAATTTGGTAGGCCATTGGATGATAGGAAGGTTGTTTAAGCGTTAAATTGAAGGTTTAAAAGTTTATATAAAGCTGACTTTAATTTAAATAAAAATAAATAACTCACAAAATTACCTTCTAAAAAATATTAACAAAATTTGAATTTAAATTTTGGAAGAAAATGTTTAAAATAAATAATTTTATTTAATATTTATTTAAATACTTTCGAAAAAATAACCTCTATTTGTTCTATAAAAATAATTTTTTAAAATTCCATTCGTACCACGAGTTTCCGTTGCTAGGGAAAATGATAGAAAAGCGAGATTCATCTCCAATATTTTAATAATAATATATTTACATAAAAAAAGAAAAAAAGATTTTTTGGAAATAATCCGAAACAAAAAAGAATTTTTAGGGATGGTGGATATCGAATTTAGCCAAAATTTTCTTCCGTTTCTATTTTTGTATTTTTTGGAAAAAATTAATTTTGCTTTTAAAAATACTTTTCTAAAATTTTAGACAGTCAAGTTTGATAAATATATTTAAAATATTATGACATAATTTAAAAACAATAAATAAAATTATTTCAATAAAAATATTTTTAAATAATACATATTATCAATTTTTACATTTAAATTTAGCCAAATCTGGATTTTTTCTGTTATCCAAATATATCTTTCTGGAAAATGCTGAAACGAATCGAGCGAGATGTAAAAAGCTTTCAAATATTTAAATAATTAATTGTCTGTTTTTAACTATTTACATAAACAAAAAACAAATTAAATATTAATTAATTTAAAATATAAAATAAACAAATTTTAAAAATTAAAATTTCAAAATTATATTTGCACTTTTAAAATTTTTATTTAAAAATTTTCTCAAAGAATTAAAGTCAAAAGATAAAAAATTATTTTTAAAAATATCCTTATTTAACTTTGCACTTTTAATAGCGACGAAATAAAAGTATTTTTAATTTTTTTTAAAGGCGGCACTGTCCTTTTATTTATTAAAAGGGCATTCATTGTATTTACAATGATTTTAACATGTGAATTTATTTTATTAAATTAATGAATATATAAAGAGTTAAATTTTGATTTAAAATATTTATTTTTTAATTTAATAAAAATATTTTTAATTAAAATATTATTTAATGTTTAAATTTTTGTTTTTTATTTTGTTTGTTTCATTAAATTCTTCTGTTGATTGTAAGTTATTAAATTGTTTTATTCAGGAAAATTAATAAACGTAGACATATCTCACATATCTCACTATAAGGGACCTCCTCGGGGCTGAAAAAGCATATTATTAAGGAAAATCCATTTAAAAATTTACTTTAAATTAATAAGTAACGTATAGTGGGGCTGTAAATTAGATGCTGTTTTTAAGCAATTAAAAAATTTTTTTAAATAAAATAAATATAAATTTTAAACATTTAGGTCTTTTAAAATTACGAACATTGGATAAAGAACATCTTCTGGTTGAGGATAGATATGCCAAGGAAGATACGCTTTATCTTTTTGTTTTTCCTAGAACATCAAATGCCCCATATTTTGGAGCAATGTGTCTTTATGTTGAAGCTGTTTTAACTTGGAAAGGAATTCCTTTTCATGTAAAAATTTTAAAATTTCAATAAACTTCCCTATAAGATACACCCAATCTAGTAGGTATTCCTCAATTTAAGATAGCATTCTTATTTCAATTTTGGGTGTGGAAGTTGCCCTTTATTGTTTCCAGCTTCGAAGGTTATCTTATAGTGAAGTATATATATATATTTAAGAGAATAAGTAACCAATTCTTTCTTGGTTCAAAAACTGATGGAGCAATTCCTTTTGCTATTTATAACGGGAAATATTTGGATGGAGCAGAAAAAATAATTGAAGAAGTTAAAAAAAGGGGAAATAAAAAATTGAGTGATGAACATGATGATAATATTAGAAAATTTGCAACTAAAACTTTGCTAAAGTATGTAGAATTTAAATTATGTTTTTAGAAAATCCACAGTTTAATTCCCGAATCTGTGTGTGGAAAGACACAAAAGAAAATTCACATCAGCCGATGTAGAATAATCTAAACTAGAGACCGGACCGAGACTAAATCCAGAACAAAAATTTCGATTATTGAGAATCGAAATTTTAAGAGATATCTCGACGACCTTGCTAAAGAGCCTTGCTAAATCGGACTGTAAGAACCTTGCACTTACGTCCGATCTCTAACAAATACCACACACATTTCTTGGAATATCGCTGGAAAGGATCCTTGTCAATTTTGTTAGCTAATTACAAATTTCCAGGACTCTAATTGCTGATAGAACATTTCGGAGAGATCTTCCCTCTGCAACAATTCCAAAAAATAATTCCGAAACACAACTAGCCTCATCTTCAGCACCAGCAACGCCAAAGGGTGGAATCTCTATAAGAAAGAAATTTAGTCCAATTGATATTAAAATCCCTCATGCTAAAAACGAAGAAATAATGATGGCAAAATCTGAGGGGCATTCTCCTGGAAGTTCTTTTCTTTCTAGAACTATTGCTCATTTAAAATTACATAATAATAATCTTGCAAAGAAAGGTCCAGGTGGTCTTGATTGGATGTTAAAAGATGAGGGAGTTCGTGAACAATTAATTCCAAATATTCCAGAAGCTTTCTTAGGTGGGTATTTTGCTACCAAAAGTCTGCAAGTCTGACTATTTATTTTCTAAGACTTGCGGACAAATGTATAAAGGAAAATAACCCTCCTTTTTTAGACCCAGAAATTCAAATTAATATTTCTAAAGAAGAAAGTATGAGTGATGAATTTTTTGATTCTCCAGTAAAAGATAAAAATGAAAAGAAATCAAAAAAAGAGGAGGAAGATGATGAAAGTGATGAAACAAAAATATCTAAGATTAAATATTCCATTAAAATGACGTTAAGTCCAGAATTATGGAAAGATTATTTTAATATTTTAAATAAAATAAAAATAAATGGAAGGGAAAATAGAGAAGAAATTAATTTATTGAAAATAAATTTTCTTCAAGAATATTTTGGATATAATGCTAGAATTTATGATGATTGGGAACGTGTAAATTATGCTCTAAAAAATACAATTAATGATATTTTAAAGAAATTAATTGTTGATAGTCAAATGCCTTTTTGTTGGGAAAAAAGGGTAAGGGTTTATTTAAATTCTGATTATTTTTTTAAAGTTGAGAGAGATTATTGGGAAAAATATTAATGAAGTTGAAGTATTTAATGAATTTAAAGATAAAGTAAAATCGTTGGGGATAATAAAAAAGTTGACTGAGGCAGAGGCTAAAACCGAGGCGGAGGGTAAAAATAATTTTTTGCATGGAAATAATCCAACTTTGGTAAATTGTTTAAATAAAATTAAAATTTTATTTTTTTAAGGCTGATTTTGCCCTTTTTGCTTTTCTGAATCAATTTTTTGAATTTCCTTTAAATATTCCAGAATTTAAAGAATTATTTACCCCAGAAAAGCTCAGTAATGAGGAAAAAGAATTAATTGCTAAAAGAAAAGGGGAAACAGAAAATTCAATTAAAATAAATGGAAATTTATTTAAAAATTATATAAAAAGAGTAAAAAATATTTTGGGAAAATTTGGGGATGATGAAGTTTGGAGAATGATGAAACAGAGACCCTGGCCTTTAAATTTTAAATTAATTGAGGAGGAAGAAAATGAAATTTTTGGAGATAAATATGAAGGTGGAGACTTTTTAAGGACTTATTTTAATTTTCTAAAAGGCCCCCTTCCCCTTCCTTTCTAAAATAAATAAATTTATAGGTCCATTCAACATTGAAGTAGGCGAATTAACGAATATTCACACATTGCTTGATATAAATAATGCAGAAAATTTTCTTTCTGATGAAAGTACTCAGCTTAAAAAGGAATTAAAGAAAAAAGGATGGTGGTCAGATTCTGAATTTTCATTAAATAATAATAAAATTGAAGAAGAAACAGAAGCTGGACCGAGTGAAAAATTAAAGGGAAAAGAAATTTCAACAGAAGAAACAAATGATAGTAAGAACTTATTATCAAATGCCCTCTTAAGGATGGAAAAATTTTATTTTATAATTTAAATAAGAGGTAACGTTTAAGCAACGCCTGCCTCATTTATTGGACAACCAGATTTTACGAGAGTTTAAGAGAGATCTAGTTTAAGAAAGATCTAGCCGGCATAAAAAATTAATTTGCGATTCCGGAAATTAGGATACCGATCTAAAAAAAATTGGAATTCACGATTTTCGGGAATCGGGTTAGGTAGATTCCTGGTACATATAATTACATATATTTATTTTAGGTAAGGTAACAACGAATTTACAAGAAGCAGAAGCGTCAAAAGAAATAAAAAAAGAAAAATCAAAATTATTTATAATGTTAAATAAGGATAAACAAAAGGATTTATTAATAAAAAGTCCAAAGGAAGGAAAAAGTCCAAAAATGGAAAAACAAAAAATTAAATTTTTTCAAAACGAAATTGTTTTATTTTTAATTGAAAAAATTTTCCAAAAATTACAAAATAAATATTTAAATGAAACAGAAATACAAAAAATATTTGGAAAATTAATGATTTTGGAAATGGCTGCTTTTATTTGTAATTTAGGAAAAAATAATAAATTAATTGGAAAAGATTTTTATGAATGTAAAGAAAAACACGAAATAATTGAAAAAAATTATTTGAACGAAAATGAAGAATTTTTTGAAAATTATTTTGGTGAAAGAGATGAAAGGTTTTTTGTTAATTGTAAATTGGAATTAGATCCGGACCCTGTTTGATCCTGCCCCGAATTTTAACTAAATTCGGGGCAGGAGCATTGTTTGAATGTTTGAAGACATTCAAACAAAAAGTTAATTAAATTAAAAAAATTATTTTAAGCTTCAATTACAAAGACTTTAGGAAAGAAACAAAAAAATTAGTTAATCAAGCAATCATTGAATATATTGAAGGGAAAATAGCTTCAAAAGTTCATAATGCAATAAGAAATGCAGCTGCATTAAATTTAAATGACCCGAAAAATACACAAGATAATAAGGATGAATATTAAATATTTTTTTAAATTAATTTTTGTAAAAATAATTTTTTAATATTATAAATAATTTTTTTATTAATATGTAGTAGTATACAATCGACCTCATACATACATATAACATATAACCCGGGGCCCCTTTCAATGTCCAGTCAACTTTAAAAAATACCAATTAAATTAAAAATATTTTATAATGAGGTCCAAATTTATATTAGTAATTATTATGTAAGTATACTAATTTTATATTTAATTTACTAAATTTTATTGTGCTTAGAATAATAAATTTAAAAATTTAAATTAAAAATACAAAATAAATAAAAACAAAAACAGAGGTATCAATTAAATTTAAAATAAAAATTTTTTTCATCTTCTAGGGGATGATTTATTTGATTCTGTTGATCTTCTACTACTACTTGTACTTTTAATTCTTTTAGAAGAATTACTTTCATTTATTTCATTATTATCATCATTTTCAGTTTTTGCACGTCTTAAAGGAGAAGCTGCGGAAGAACGAGGGCGTGGTAATCGACGAGTAAAAGAAGTAGAAGGAGCATCTAATGATGAAGTACTTGAAGTTGGGGGACCTTCTGGGGGAAGTCTAAAACGAATAGAGCCACTTCTAGGTGCTGGGGATTGATTTGGTGGTGTTGGTTGCTAATAAAGAAAAATTTTAAAAAATAGCAATTTTTCATAAAAAGTGAAACAAATTTGGACTATTACATATTTCATAAAATTATTTTTTATTAATTGTTTTAATTATATGCAGAAATAATTTTCTGATCTAGGAGAAAAAGAACTTTTCAAAACGCTTTTACAACTTATAGGCACTGAGGGACTTTTCGGATTTTTTTGGAAACTCAACAAAATTGATTAAGTCAAATAAAATAATGGAGCTTATAAAATAAAGTCCAATAATTAAGTACACTCTATTAATTCTTTTTTTAAGAAAACTTTGTCTAACCAATCTCGAATGATGAGGCGAATGCTTTTCCATAGAATGTCCAGCACTTCCACTTCTAAACTGTGATTTAGCCCCAGTCATCTAAAAATAAATGTTAATAATTTTATTTTTAAAATTTTTTTTCAACTCTTTTTCTAGCTGCAGAATCGGCCACACATTTTAAAAGTCTTTGTCTTCTCGGATCAAATTCACGTTGTACACGTATTTTATCTGATGATTTACTATAAAATTTAAAAATTATTTTTAAATTAATTTATTTAAAGGAACATATTCTTCCACAAATATTGAACAAATAAACGGCGTTTTTGGAAGTCTGGAATGCTCCGAGAAGGCGAGGAACTCGGCCTTGTAGATTTGGCAGCAGAAGAAGAATCTGATTTGTCTGATTGAACAGAACTTATTGTTGCTGTTGAAGGGCCTTCTCCAAATGGATTTACTCCAATTATTGGACTATATCCTCCATGTGTTTGTGTGTCTGAAGGAGGTTGCCCTACTCTCTTTAAATTAATAAATTTTTACATAAATTGGTTGAAAGTAAATTTTACTTCAATCATTGTTACAATACGGTGGAATGATGTACAAGTACGCCAAAAAGAATAGAAACGAACAACTCTAGAAAAATTAATTTTATAGGATATTTAATCTGGTTGTTATAAAGAGACATATAGAAATTTACCCCCACCCAGGGGTAACGAATTAAAAATTTTCATTAAATAAAGGTCTAACTAGTATTGAGTTATCTAATTGTGAGGTTGGGCTTAATTGTAAGGAGAAAGGCAAGATCCCAGACAAGAAATTTTATTTTAAAATAAAATAAAATCTTTTTGCCTATAAACTTTGCTCAAATCTACAGGTTCTCCACGTTGTGCCATTTCCGGTTGCTTCCAAGGACCTCCAGATGTTGGAGTAATCTTAAATTTGGAAATTAATCGAGATATTTATTTTTAATTAACTTGTTGATCTTGTTGTTGTTGACTAGTAGAAGAAGAAGAAGAAAAAGGAGCAATAGAATGTCTACCAACAAATCCACTAGTTGATGGAAATAATGAAAGTGAAGGTAAAACATTAGGGGGAATAATTTGTGAAGGATCGAGAGAAGGAATTGCTTTTTAAAAATAAATTTAGAAATAATGTTTTTTAAATAAACACCAAAAGAAGGCCTTCCAGCACTTCCTGTACAAAAAGTTAAAGAACGTCTTGCCGTATTTGGCATTGAAAAAGAGGAAGTTTGTCCAAAATCTCCTCTCTGTTGTTGAGACATTTCTGGTGGCAACATTTCTGCAACAGAACCAGCACCTCCCATTGCTGGCGTTGTATTGGCTAATCGAGCAGAAATAATTTTGCCTCTACTAGTTAATAAATTAACTCGGTAGAAGTGACGAAGATCTTCACTAAAAATTAAAAAAAGGAATGAGTTGTAATCTGAGTTTTGTTACATTTTTGTTAATCTAACTTGATATATGTACATATAAGCAAGGTAATCAGAGTTTTTAAACCAATTTTTACAATTAGAGCCCGGACTGGAAAGGTCATACGAGAATCGAGATATCAAAAAATCTCGATAACTGAGAGTTTCTATCGAGATCTCGTCTAAGTTCGGGCTCTAACTACAATACTGTATTTGTTTTACTAGTATTTGGCTTTAACAAGGTTAAGTTTTAACCTATAAAAATATTTAGTAGGTCTAGATGTGTGTTTCCACCAATGTTCATCGCCCAAAACATCATCCATTTGAATTTTATCAGCATCTACAGCAAAACAATAATTGTCTGCAACCATTGTTGGCGGAATCTTTATTGTATTTTAAATTTTACCTTAATCTAAAACTTTTTTACTTGAGAGGATAACATTGATTGAGAAGCATTCATTAAATTTTGAATGGCTGCCTCTGTCTGAACAGTATCATGATGAACAGAATGGACAGGCATGTCTCTATGGTAAATTACAGGGTCTTCATTAGCTAATAATTCCTGAAATTATTTTTAAAACTAAACATCAAACAAAGCACTTTCAAATACAAAAAATTTGCTATGATTACAGTGGGGCTAGGATCGGAGAAAGCAATGATAGGGAGATCCATCTTGGGCTCTATTTAGGAGGGGATTAATTAATTTAAAATTCACTTCTGCACTAATTCCAGCATCAACTAATTCAAAAGCACCCAAATCAATTTCAAAAGCGGGTTCTTCTTCCTCTGCCTCAGTATCAGCAAAAAATATTAATTCATCTTCTTCAGATATTGAAAGTCTTTCCAAAGAAGGAATCTATTTATTTAATAAGTAAAAATTATTTTAAATTTCTTCTTTACTTGAGGAACATCAGAAATCATTTGTCTTACATAACTAACAATATTTGGAAGTTGCTCTGTTGATGCTAAATTCATTAAACGATCCCATTCATCAGCAGAAGAGAAAGTAGTTTCTTCTGGGGCATTTTCATCTACAGAAGCCTTTGAAAGAAGGAAGGACTTTTTAAATTAAAAAATAATTTTTTCTTTACTTGAACAGTTTCAGGCAATAGAAGATGTTGTTGTTCATTCACAAATTGTTCGGGAGAAAGTCGTGTCATTTCTGATTTTGTAATTCCTAACATATCGGAAGGAGTAAAGGAAGGCAATAATCTCTAAATTTATTTTTGAAAACAAACTAAACTTTTTTACAATTAAAGTTTGTAATCTAAACTCGATAAAAATCACGTTTATTTTTAAATTGCAAATAAATTAATAATTAATTTGTTTTGTAGAATAATTTCACTATTTACATATTTACCTGAGCTACTTGAGCTTCTGTACTTGAATCTTTAGTTTGCTCTCCAACTTGTTCATGCTTTAAAAATTATTTTTATTTTTCTTTACAAATTAATTCCCTCCCAACCATAACAACAGCCCTAGCAATTGGAGGTAACGCTTCTTCAACATTAGAAGGCCTTGGATCTTCAACAATAGATTCATCTGCTTTATTTATTGTAGGTAATACTTCTGTCTTCATTGAAGGAGGTTCTGGTTCTGGAGGGGGTGGACTTGGAGGGAGGTCCAATACAAAGGGAATGTGAACTAATTCAGATGCTTTTTCTAATTCAATAGGAGGCGCCTTAATTTAATAAAATAATTAATAATTTATTAAAATTAAATTAAGCGCGTAATTGACAAACCATTTAAAAATTATTTGTTAGTAGAGAAGAAGAGCATTTAAAGCAATTAATTATTAGCATAACATTTAAATGTGTGTGAGTATTTCAAGTATTTATTAGTTTTTCTAAAGAAGCGATTAGCAAACAAAACAAACAAATACAAATTAAAATTGTTAAAAAAACAACACAAACAAATAATTTTTTTATTTAAAAATAAAAGGAACAAAAATAAAAGAAAAATAAAGTAAAAAAGTTAGTAAATATTTAAAGTTTCCCCAAAGGGGAAATGAACATCAAAGTTTTCAAAATTTCAGAAAAGTTATAAATAAGAGGTATTTTAAATTATAAATTATACCCTAGAGAAAAACTTTAAGCTAAAACCAACAAAGAAGATGAACAAAAAAAGAGTTAAAAATTATAATATTTAAAAAAATTTTAATTTCTAAAATTATAAGTATATAATTTAGAAAGGAAGAAAAAATATTTATTTTTAACAAATTCAAAAATATTTTGAATTTTTTGTTGAAGTAGAGGGTTCTTTTGGACTAACATTTAATAAAGATGTTGATTCTTCCTCCTCTTTTTCTTCTTCACTTTTAGTTAAATTTAAATCCAAACTTCCAACTTTTTTTAAATTTTCTTTAATCAAATAATTTTTTCTTTGCAACCCAAATTTATTGGTGCTTTTTGAATTTTGTCTAAATTCTTCTTTTAAATTTCTTTTAATTTCCCTTCCAGTTGCAGGCGTGGAACTTGTAGATAAATTAGAATTTAATCTTTCCCTTCCTTCTTTAAATTCTTCTTCTAAATTTAAACGTTTTGAAGTAATCATTGGACATAGAGACATTCTTCTTTCATTTTTATTTATTTTTAAAGAATTTTAGAAGAAGAAGGAAGAACAGAAGAAAAATGTTCAGCAACAGATTTTCTTTTTCCTTTCCATTTATTTATAGCTTTTAAGCCGAGGGTTAAAGATTCGAATGAATTTCTGCTTGAAGTTGGCTTTTCTGATAGATTAATACTCCCTTTTAAATTACTTGTTGTGCTTTCTGTTGTTTGGTGTTCTAATTCTGCTATATGTTGATATACGGGATGTTCTGTAGCTAATTGTTTTGGAAGATCTTTACAAAAGATTTTATTGTTAATTATTTATATATGAGTATTTATTATTATTAGCATATATGTGCATAATTTTAAATTTATATTAAAGTAAATTTTAAGTCTCCCTAATTAGAAAAGAGAGAAATTGGTTACGGTATGGATAGTGGAAATCATTCGTATCCCTCCACGCTTTCAACGAGATTTTAAGAAAATATTTTAATGTGCCTGTAATTAAAAAAAACTTTCCCATACATTGCATTTCCGTCAATTCCTGAGCTCTTTCAGTGATTTGTTCCATAGTTGCCGGAATGCCCTCTTCAGTAACAGCAATACGAGGACTCAATGCTAGCCAATCAAATCTGATAAGAGGATCATACCTTTTAGCTAATCTTTCGCGTTTTTTTCTTCTAAGGATTGGTTGGTAATTTTCTGGTTGAAAAATTATTTTTGTTTTTTGGGTAGGAGAGTCTGGTTTTGTTTGCTGTTGTTCTAATAATTGTTTTTGATGTTGTTTTGCCTCAAGTTGTTGCAAACTCCTCCTACGTTTGTAATACCAAACTGGTTGACCAACAAAGCGAGGAAGTTGTGCTTTTGGGGCCTTAAACAAGAGGGAGAGGGTTTAGACTCTTATTTTCTCAAAAAAAAATTTACTTGTAAAATTTCAAGAAAACAAATGGTTGCCCTTCTTGAAAGAATTTCTGAATTGTGTATACTTATTAGAGCATTATTTCCTTCCAAATCCTCTTTCATTACAAAATCTCCTAAATCCTCCTTTTCAAAATAATTGTTAGTATTAAATTGTTGGACAAACAAATTAACAACACAATTTTTAGTTAAACACAAAAATTCAACAAAAGCAAGCGAAGGACAAGCTATAGTGCGCCATTTACGCCATTTTATATTGCCCCTTACAAGAGATAGTTCAACAGGATATGAAGGGAAAGACGGACAACTGACCAATCTTCTTCTAGTACGAGCTGTTTCGGCTTAAAATTGAAAGGATTTTTATTAAATTAAAAAAGAAATTAACCAATTTGTCTGAGATCGGGTGAAGGAATTGGGAAATTAAAGGCAAATGAATTGAGCGAAGGCTGTGGAGAAATAAAGTTTTGATAAGTTTGTTGTCGATGTTCTACTGAAGGTTCTGTACTAAGAAGAGAACTTTTAATTGAAGGAGTAGGCCCAGACTCTGCCCAAGAATTTAATCTGTCATTATTTAACCGACTATACATTCTGGAAAAAAAAATTTTTTTTAAATAAATTTTTTGTAAATACAGTGAGCGTTCTGATTCTGAAGAGGGCGTTATTGTTGGTGACCTTTTTGGTAGAGGCTCGGGCTCAAGGACTTCAGGCATTAATTCTGTAGCCAAAACTAATTCGCTTTCTTGTTGCGTATCCTTTTAAAAAAAGAAAGTTTATAAGATTTTTAAAAGATTTTAAAATGTTTAAACTTCTGGATAAAAGTTGCGGATTTTGTGGATTAACTGAAAATGACCCAATTCCCTAAACAATAACTACTTGTTCTATCCAAGCTGCTTCTTTTTCAGATTGCAAAGACAATTTCCCATCTTCAGGCTGATCCATTTCATGTAAATGACTGACAATGTGATGGGAAGGTTGGACAAATATTGCCCTTTGTTGCGAAGGATTTAAAGCTCTTAAATTAAAATAATTTATTTAAAATATATTTTATTATTATAAAATTAACTTACTCTCTTTCATGTTTAATAACAAATTCAATAAATTCTTTCCCCTCCCCCATAGCAAAACGCCTCTCCAACATTCGTTTACGCCGAAGAATTTGAAGAATATCTGTGCCTTGGAATTTACGTCCAAAATAGTGAATCCTAGAAAATAATAAAAGTTTAGAGAAATCAAATATTTTTAATAAAGTCGGATCTCATTATAAGATATTCCTTGGGACTAAAAAATTGCACCTTATAAGTAGGTGTATTTTTGAAAGAGGGTATCACTTAGGCAGACCGCTCTCCGTGAAGTTGTATTGGGTTATCTAACTATACTTACTTTTGAATATATTGAACGCCAACCAGGTCAATACACCTAAAAAATAAAGCATTTTAAAGAATTATTTAAAATAAAAAACAACATAGTTGTAACAGCCAATCCAATACCCAAATAAAGGAGCATTATAACAATATATCTTTAAATATTCTCTAATATATTTTGTTAAATATTAAAGTTAAACTCATGTCTGTCTGGAACAAAATCTCCAAAACCAATTGTTGTAAGAGAAACAAAACCTGAAAAAATAAATTTATTAATAAACAAAACCTAAATAACTAACAATAATAAAAGGCATCCATATAAGTCCAAGATTCAAGTAAGGCAAACAAAAAGCCCCCAAATGCAATATAAAGCTAAAAATAATAAAATAATTAAAAAATTATTTTTATTAAAAACCAATAAAATAGCAAAAACAACAATCACTGGAACCTCAGTTTCTGATTTGTCCTAGAAAATACCATTATTATATACACATCAATTTAAAATAAATTTTTAAAATTTAGATGGTCACCGAGTGGGCACTACTAACAACCCCATATTTAAAGTCCTCATTGAAATCAAAAATTTTCAACCCCAAGAATGTAACTTATTTAGAGTTAGTTGCAAAATAAATTAATTTTTAAGGTTAATTACTTGATATTCCCAGTCATTCATTCTTTTTTCCGATTCCGTTTTATGATTTTCATCCCAAGAATTAAGATCATCAGCGTTGTTATTATTTCCCATCTCTAAATCTCCTGCTAATTCTCCAGAAATAAAATCCTCTTTAAAAAATAAATTTTTTTATTAAAAATACCTAAATATTTTCACCTTTTAGTCGCCTTCTTTGATTAGATCTGTGTGCCATTAATGACTGGCTAATCCGATAACGATAAAAACGATATTTATCTTTAGAGTGTCGATACTAGAAAATTAAATTTAAATAGATTTATTAAAACAATGAAAAATTTTGAACATTCTCAAATTGATTTCTAAATCGTAATCTGTTGCAGAAACTTAAGATTATTTCAAAATTTCCAAAATACCACCCCTTGTTGGTTATTTAATTTTCATTTATTATTTCTATACCAGGAAATACCAAAAATCCATGAAAAAATATATTCAATTCCGCTTTATTTTAAATTAATTTAAATTATTTTCCCCCTTCCTTCCAGGTGCCAAAAGGCATATTATAACAGAAAAGGAAAAATGTAAAGAGAAGGAAAGAAAAGTTCTACCGGAAATTTACTGATTATCTGATACTAGATAAATATGTGTAGTTTGGTAAGGGGACTCTACCTAAGCAAGTCCTCCTATTTAAGATAAATCTCATTCAAGGGGTATCTTATAATAAAGTTCAAGTATATTTATTAGAAATATTATTCAAAAATTACCAGCCAAATTGTACATTCAGAAAGAAATTTACCCAAATCACCAATTGTTCTAAATATATTTTTAAGTTAATTTAAAATTAATTTACTAACATAATAGCTAAAGGAGCACCAAAAAGAGCAAAAATAATACAAGCAATTCTTCCCTGATTTGTCATAGGGACTATATTACCTTTTTTTGAAATAAAGATTTAATTTAAAATATTTAAATAAGCACCATATCCAATTGTAGCCATTGTTGTAGCAGCAAAAAATAAAGCACTACTTGGTGTCCACATTTTACCTTCAGAACGAGATTTAGAGAAATGCCGCCTAAATCGTGGATCTAAATGTGGAGTTATTGTACTTGACAATTGTTGTTGTTGTTGAATTAGTGTCAGAGCTGGACGAACATCTTCATACCTTTACAAAAAAAACATGTACTTCACTATAAGAGATGCCTTTTAGGGAATTGTATCCTATAATGAGGTGTCTTAAAGGCTTAGACAGCCTAATAAACATTGCTGGGTATGGCCGCGAGAGCTTTTTAAACCTCAGAGCTGGATTTGGAAAAGGTGTAGGAATACTCATAGTGAGGTCAGATTGAATATTAAATAAGAATTCAGCAACTGGCATTTGACTACCTTCAAGAAGCTGAACTTGACGTAATTCGAATAGGATCCTGTTCTTATTATTAATAAAAAATTACAAATAAAAATTTCTATTAGTTGAGAAAACTTTTTTTTAGAAAATTTTCATTTACCTAACATATTGTTCTTTATAAACATGAAAAAGTTGTTCTCCAAATTTTCTTAAAAACATTTTTCTCTCTTCTATCCATTTTCGTTGTTCTTTATTCAATTTTTGTTTTCTATTTAAAATTTCTTTGGCTAAACTACGTCTTAATTCTTGAACTTTTTTAATTCCATTAATTTTTAACTTAAATTAATTCAAGAAAATTAAATAAATATTTAATTATTTTTTCTACCCTATCTTCATGTGGTGACTCAATACTATGAAATATCCAAGCACCAATCATTGCATAAATACAAACAACACTAATTTAAAAAATTAAAAATTAAAAAATTTAGTATGCAATGTCGGACCTCACTATTTGATACTCATTAGGACAAAACTGTATCTTATAATGAGAGGTACCCTAAATAGAAGGTATCGCTAAGACAGCTCCTTCCTATCCCTTGCTTAACAAAATTTAAAGAAAATGTTTTGAATTGGGGCATAGTGAGGTTCGACTTATTTAATTATTTATTTACAGAACAAGTCCAACGTGTGGAAGAACAAGACGAGCATATTTACGCCAGGAATTTAACTTTAAAAATTAATTAAATTGCCGTATATATGCTAAATTAATCACCCTATGTAATTATTGTTTCGATGGGGGAGTAATTATTTGAGACAGAGGGTAATTATTTCAGCATATGTAAAATATATGTTAAATTAAGAATTAATTAACTAATACCTTCTCTACATTATCTAATAAATTTTGTAAATCTTTAAAGCTGTCTGTGTCTCCCATTATTTTTTAAAAATTATTTAAAATAAAATAAGTATAAGTATATATCACAGAATTTTAATGATTATGTTTTAAACAAAGAAATATTTGATTATACATTATGATTATTGAAAGCTCTAAATTAAATAAAAGAATTTAAAAACATTTAAAGGAATTGAAAATTAAATTTTTGACATATGTACATACATATGTAATTTTATAATAACGTCGAACATTAGAACAGTAAATACATACACATCAGTTTAGGATCGTTTTTTAAATTTGGGTGACCTTTGGCTAAGTAGGGGGGGGGGTGTCTAGACAACCCCCTATTCATTAAGCGAAAAAATAGTCCCAAAGGGCATCTAAAAGCGAGGTTCAACAACATATAAAATTAAGAATTCCCTTGCAATTTATTAATTTATTAAATTTAATTTAGCAAAAAAAAATTTTATTTTTGCAATTGATTTTACTTAACAATAAAAAAATAAAAGAGAATTTAAAGCTTCAGTTTAGATAGGGGAGATAAGTGTAAATACGTATATACTATTTAGGTGGTGGCATTGAAAAAAGAAAGGCTAACAGCCAATAAGGTTTTTTGGAAAAGAAAAGTATTTGAACATACGGCACAAATTTGCTATTTTTACGCAAACTGTCCCCTCACTTTCCCCTTATTTTTTAAAATTCCCACAGGGAAACTAAAAAAAGTTGTTGGAAAAACAACAGAAAGAAGAAAAAAGAAATTTAGAGAATAGATCCACAAAAATGAACTTAAAAAATTGATGTAAATTGGCATAGCAAATTGTCACTTTGAAAGTTTAAAAGAGGAAATTTACTATGCTCGGAAAGCATAAATTTTTATGAAAAAACAATAAATAAATATTATTTTAAGAAAATTTATGTTTATTTATTTTAAATCATTAGTATTTATTAAAGTAAAATACAGGTACTAATCAGACCTCATTTACAGATACGTCCAATATTAGACAAACATAGATTTGTAATAATTTTTAAATTTGGTTAGGGTCGAGGAGCTGCCCAAGCCTCAATATAAGTCAGGAATGACTTTAATGATAATAATTTAAAGTTAGTAATAATTTTTTAGTAATAATTTATAATAATTTTAACTTTAATAAACTTTAATGACTTTAACTTTAACTTAATGACTTTAATACTTAAATATAGTACTTATTTAATTTTTGAAATTTTTTTTAATTTTCGGATATTTATAAAATAAATAGGTAGTTGTTGCTTCTCTTCCACACATTGATTGTTAACTAAATTTAATGGAATTCAAATTTCCTTTTTCTATTTTTGGCAAACCATTTGAGTTAAAAATATATAAAAGGGAGGGAACCATTTAAAATAACAAAAAAAAATTCAGAAAAAAATGTAAAGGGAAATAAAAGTAATTAAAAGGGTTTTAAATAATTATTTTAAATTAATTTGAAAAAAAGTTTAAATATGCAATATCAAGTCTTTAATAATTTTGTTCGAAGTATAAGATACATACTTTACCCATCAAGATTGAAAAACATAACATTTAAGATGTTTGGGTGTGAGTGAGGTTCAACTATTTTTCTAAAATTTAATAAATTTCCAAACTTTCAAATATTAAAGTATATGCAGCTTTACGCTTATTTAAATTTACACCACACACACACATACTTCAACACACACTTTTAGCTTAATTGTGTTCGCCCATTGATGTTATTTATTGTCCAGCTTAAATGGATGATGCAAAACCAAATATATTTTGTAAAGGGTGACACAAAGTCAGACATTTTTAATTTATTTATGATTTTATATTTGTTTTTATTCAATTTTCTATTAGACGACAAAATCTAAAATTTTTTAGTTTTGTTCTAAAATAGTTCAACTCTTATAAGAGTCTGATTTGAGAGATATCAACAGAATTCAATTAAACTTTCTTGCGAACTGGCCAAACTTTAAATATAAAAATGTAACTTTGACATAGAAGGCTGTGAGTGATATTTGGAGGAAATGAATTTTCTCCTTATGGGAAGTCGCGGCAGATGAATACTAGAATTTTCTTTTATAAATTCATAAAATCAGGGATAGTTTTAAATATTATAAAAATCTGAAGATTATACTCCTTTTTTACGATCTCAATTTTGAAAAAAAGTAATGCAAAAGAAGCGTTCAAAAAATACTACATAAAATTAATATTTTAGTTTAAACACTTAAATTTAAAAAATAATAAAAAAATCAAAATTTTATTTTATTTAAGTATACAAACCAAAAGCAAGATTAAGGCAAAGAAAAAACAAATAATTGAGAGAAAAAAAGAAAACAAAGGAAAGATTTGACAAATATTTTTTGAACGGTAAAAAATAAAAAATAATTGAGGAAAAAGGGATGGGGGGGGGGGGGGGAAGAGGTCGTTGTGGGTATTTAAATTTAGGGGTAATTAATATTTAATTAATTTTAATTAAATTAATTTTAATTAATTTTAATTAATTTTTTAAATGCAATTAGTATATTGCCTTTATTTAAATACCGATTAGGCCCCCAAAATTTAGAAAAGAAGAATAAATTTATATTTCATATAAAATTGTTTTTTGATTTAAGAATCTAAATATAAACTCGGGATTAAGGACTGAAAAAGTTATAATTCATAACGAAGTTTAGAGTGTTATGCTTAGGCAAAACCAACTAAATTCTAAAAATTTGTCTTAAATTAAGGTGTATCTAACTACTTATGGGTGTCTCATTTAGCAGGTAAAGGACTTTTAAACTCTCAAATCAAAAAATGTTTTTTATATGAAAAGTATTTTGTTTTCAATTTTGGAGGCCTAAACGGCCAAATTATTCCAGTTTAAATTTTTTGGTATTTTTCAAATTAACAACGTGTTCTTTTCAATAGCCGCCTTTTGGAGAAGCTGCGGGTGCTGGAGCATTGGCAGCCTTTAAATTTTAGATTAAAAATTAATTATTGTAAAGTTTAATATTACAGCTGGAGATGCACCACTGTAACCAGAAGCGCCTTCAGCGCCTGCAGGACTTTGAGCAGCGGCTGGAGCTGCAGCAGGAGAAGGTGCAGACTTAACAAATTAAAATTAAAAATAAAAATCATTATCTCCCAATACCTCAACTGGTGCTGCAGCAGGGGCTGGAGCTGCCTGGGCAGGAGCTGCAGATTCAGATGGAGCGGCAGCTTGCGAGGGTGAAGCTGCAGCGGGAGCAGATTCGGCAGGAGCAGCAGCGGGTGATGGAGCAGCTGCTGGAGCTGGTGCAGCGGATTCAGCTGGGGCAGCCGCAGGTGCAGAAGCTGCTTGAGTTTCAGAAGGAGCGGCGGCTGGTGATGGAGCAGCTGCTGGAGCTGGTGCAGACTGAAAGAGAGATGGTGAATACAACTTATTGTATCCATATTTAAAATACCTCAGGTTGTGCTGGTGCTGCCTCTGCAGGAGTAGCTGACTTTGCTGGTGCTGACTCTGCGGGTACAGCGGCTGCTGGTGCTGATTCCGAGGCAGCGGGAGATGGAGCAGCGGCAGCAGGAGCAGATGACTCAGCTGCAGCAGCACCTCCATATTGGGAATTCCCTGAAGCTGGTGCGGCGGCATTTTGAGCAGAAGGTTGTTGTGCTGCGACTTCTGCAGGAGCTCCACCTGAAGGAGCTGAAGCTGCAGGAGATGGGGCTGCTGCACTTTGGGCTGGAGCGGGAGCCTGAATTATTAAATTATCGATTCGTCGGTAAAGAATTACTCTTTGCATACCTCTGCAGGAGCTGGAGCAGTTTCAGCAGGTTTTTGTTCGGCTGGAGATGGTGCTGCAGCGGCAGATGGTGAAGGTGCTGCAGCACTGGCTGGAGCAGTGGCCTCTGAAGCAGCTGCATATCCAGATCCTGCGGCTGGAGCAGCAGCAGCTGGGGCAGAAGACTCGGCTGGTGCAGCACTTCCAGTTGCAGGGGCCTCAGCAGCAGGTGATGGGGCAGCGGCAGGTTGTGCTTGTGCAGGAGCATTTTCAGCAGGCGCAGCAGCGGATGGTGATTGTTGAGGTGCAGCAGCAGCTGGAGCACTTTCAGCTGGAGCAGCTGCTGGTGATTGTTGCGGTGAAGCAGCAGCTGGAGCACTTTCGGCTGGAGCAGCAGCGGCTGGAGCAGCTGCTGGTGATTGTTGCGGTGAAGCAGCAGCTGGAGCACTTTCGGCTGGAGCAGCAGCAGCTGGTGATGGAGCTGCGGCAGCGTTTGCGGATGGAGCAGTCGCTTCACCTGCAGCAGGTGATGGAGCAGCAGCAGCAGCACTGACAGGAGCGGTTGATTCTGCTGCAGCAGCGCCACTATATCCACCTCCTGTGGCAGCTGGGGAAGCGGCGGCAGCAGGGGCTGGTGCAGCCTATAAAATAATGATAAATATATTCAAAATCAAGGTACAAATATGTATGTATTAGAAAATTAAATAATATTGATTATATGTACATATATCACCTCAGCCGGTGCAGCAGATTTTGCTGGCGCAGCTTCGGCGGGTGCTGGTGCAGTTTCTGCGGGTTTCTGTTCTGTTGGGGCAGCTCCTTGGGCTGGAGCAGCTGATTCTGCTGGAGCAGAAGCACCTGATGAGGGAGCGGCTGCTGCTGGTGTTTCAGCAGCAGGCGATGGTGCGACGGCAGGTGCTGGGGCATTCTGAAAAAACGAAAAGCGAATTAAATAGCGAAGATACGATTTAATTTTTTTAATAATCTCGACATTCTTATCATTCAACAATTGTTTAAAATTACTTGAGCAGCAGCTGGTGCAGTTTCGGCAGGTTTCTGTTCAGCTGGTGCAGAAGCAGATTGTGCAGCGGCAGGTACTGGAGCGGCAGACTCGGCCGGAGCAGCAGCACTTTGTGCAGGAGCAGAAGATTCGGCAGCGGCAGCACCACCGCTATACGAAGCTCCTCCAGTTGATGGAACAGCAGCTGAAGGTTGTTGGGCAGCAGCAGCACCTTGAGGTGCAGCTGATTCAGCTGGAGCAGAAGCACCTGATGTTGGAGCGGCTGCTGCTGGTGTCTCAGCAGCACGAGCTGTGGCAGCGGCGGGTGCTGGGGATTCTGCTGGTTTCTGTTCAGCTAAAATTTGAAAATGTGCGTATTTACTATAAATAAGTGTTTGAAAATTTACCAGGTGCAGCTGCTTGCGGTGCGGCAGCTTCTGCTGATGCTGGTGCCTTCTCAGCGGCCGGTGCAATTCCAGAAAGTGCATTAGAACCTCCTTCTATCGGTTTCTGTTCAACAATGGTCGGTGCCGTTTCGGGAGCAGCTGCCGTCCTTTCTGGCTGACTAACAGGTGAAGCTGCAGCAGCTCCAGATGGAAGAACAGGTTCATCTCCATAAGCATTGTTTCGCTTTACAACTAACAAAAAGTATTAGCTTGTTTGCAATTATAATGAATATTATAAGATTCTCGTTATATTATTATTTCCCTTGGGGCAGAAATTATAGTACATCTAATAATGAAGTGAATTTTAAATCCATTAATCATTGGCAACCAACTAAATACTTTAAAACGTATGAGGTGTATTTAATATTGGAAGTATCTCATAGCGAAATCAGAAAAACCATCTTATTTTACGTACTTGATCGTCCATAAACAGTAGAGGTGAACAACAAGATTGTAAATAATATGGCAGTTTTGGTGATTGAGAACATTTTTAAAGAAAATTTTTTGACTGAAAATAATTTTTTATAAATAATAATTTTTTGCTTTATTAAATAGTAAATCGTGTTAATTATTTTTAAAAATTATTTTCTTTAAGAACAATCGAATCGCAAATTAATTTTAATTAAATAGGTCAACAATTAAATAATAAAAGAATGGAAAGATTTTTTAAATTTAATAAAAATGCGTAATTGAGTTAAATTGAAAATGACAGAAAAGGCTTACACTTTTAATTTTATATTTTTAAAGGAACGAGGTTCTAAAATTAGGAATTTATGACGAAGAGGGGAACCTATTACAGACAAAGGTAGTGACAGGAGAAGAAAATCATCCTCTAAGCCTAAAATATATCCATCTTTTAAAAAATACAATCGAAATTTTATTATAAAATACCCATAATTTTATAAAATACACCAAAGGGTATATTATAGTAAGCCCGATTGTAATAAATTTAAAACTATTTTTTTATTCTTTCGGCTAAAGTGGAATAAATTCAAAATTTATGGGTAAAGTAAAATCAAAGAGCATTTTAAAAAGAAAATGAACGCCTAGAATTTTTTGAACAAAAAAATATATAAATCAAAACGCCCTAAAAGTTTAATGATGGAGAATACTCTTCTCTAAAAGATTGCGTTTGATTATTTATACCTTAAAGATTGCTAAAAAAGATAAAGAAATGACGAAGTAATTTTTATTTAATGAATGGGGAATTGGAGAAAGAAAAACTTTAAAAAAAGTGAATGCTTTTGCGCATTAATATTTTTTGTCTAATAATTTAGTAAATTCTAAATATTTTTAATTTTATAAACTTGAATTTTTGAATTATTAATCATCCTTTCTTTTCTAAAAATTTTGGAAGTTTTATTTTATTGAAATTACTTAAAGGTGTTCGGAAAACAGTTAACCTATTCAGTATCGGTATAATAACAATACCAGAAAGAAACTGTATTTTCATAATATAAATATCGGTATGCAAACGAGAATACCGAGGGATCCATAGACCGAACACCCAAATAAACTATTCACATTTGAGAATATTATCTGGGGAAGTAAACATGTTAGAGGATTACACAAATACTTGTAACTATTTTAATTCTTTAGTTTAATTTATGGACTACCACAAAAAGATGAAAATAAAAACCGAAATAATTAAATCTTATTATAAAACAAAAATGAAAGCCAAATGAAGAGAGAATGCTGGATTTAGGGCTTGTTTATAATGAGGGGACTGGGGATGAACTGATTGATGCCTAAAAGGTTAAAGAACAACGAAAAACAAAACAGCTATTTCCTCTGGCCAAAAATATGTACTTTCTTAACGTTCTCAAAGTTGCCTCTACCAGTCTCTATCCACCCGTGATCAAAAAATCCTAAAGATGCACCACCCATGGCCTGCCACCAAATTAAAAAAGGTGCGAAAAAAACAAACTTATTAACGAAAACAAAGGATAAATATATTGCTGGATCTATTTCTTAATTGGTATTTATTATAACTAAACAATTTATTTTTCTTTTTAGAGAGGTTGCGTTAAATAATTTTCTTTTTAGGCGTTGCTTAAAAAGATGAATGACTATTAAAAAGATTTATTTAATTGGAATGGTTGGTGTTGATAGCTACTAAATGAAGGAAGAAAAAAAGACTTTTTTCTTTGCCGAAGATGGATGTGTTTTTTGTGGTACTACCTGTCATCAAAAAAAAAAAAGAAAAATGGCGCAGCAACTATAAAATATACCTACTTTCATTATTTACTACTTGTCCGCTCAACCGATTTTAGTCATTAACTAGTATAGAAAAAAGATAAATGTAAAAAGAGATTTATGTGTGGAAAAGCAGAGAATTGGTTGGATGAAAAATATTTGGGTCGTCATCACCAGATATAGTAATTTATTAGTCTTTTAATGATATGATGTTGAAATATTTAAGGGAGAAGGATAATAAAGGAATTGTTGAAAGCCCTTTTTTAGAGTGAACAGAAAAATGACCGATTAATTACTCGTTAAATGAGAGAATAAAAATCCAAAAATTTGTAATGAACAGATAATTCTGTATACAAAAATGCATGACTCATAAATTAATTTAATTTAGTGATTGATATCTTTTTTAAGCTTATTCTCTTATTTATTTGTGTTAAAAATTTTTGTTAATTTCCGGTGAAAATAAATAAAAATTCTAAAAAGATTTTGTTAAAAAAGTGGCCTGCCGTAATTTCTGATTAAAAAATAAAGATAAATAGTCCCATTTGATAAGGAAATTCTATTTTGTTAAAAGCTATCAGAAAAATTTTTTGAACAGGATTAAAATAAATATGATGAATTTTTTAAGTGTTTATAGCTAGTTGTTATTGTTGTCTGTCTGTCCATTGCCATTTTCCCACTTTTTTGGCTTTCGGACCCCAACTTGTGTTGTACACATCTTCGGCCGTGTCTTTACAATTATGCAGGTTTTTTAAAGTTTTTTTAGAAAAAAAATAAAAGCTTTTCCAAATATAGAAGGACAAAGAAAAAAATTGAACAATAGGAATTTTGTTTTGGATTTTTAACGTTTTTAGATCAAAAAAGTGTTGTTGAAATATTTATTTTTTATTTTTTCCTATTGTTAGAAAATTAAATGCCATGGTTATTTTTTTTGTTTAAGAAAAAAGGAATACAAATATTGTTTTTGAAGAAGAATCTTTTCTTTCCTAAAGATTGGAAAACATATTGAGAAAATTCTTGAAGAATTTTCTCAACTATCTCCACCCAATTTTTTACTAAAAATTTAACCAAAAAGGCGAAAGAAAGAATTACAAATATTTTAGAAAAAGTTTTGTAGACTGTGTTAAACTATTTAGACGGTAATATAAAAATGATAAATTAATATATTATGTAAAAAATTGAAAAAAAATTAAGAAAA